TCAAGTCTCCACATAAAATGAAACAGTGTCTGTTATAACTTATACACAAACTCCCACATTAAATCATCTCAGAATTGCTTACAAATACCTGCACTACCTAACGCAATGTGAATATTCTGTAAATATGGCTATGTTGCAAGGAACAAAGAATGGAAAAATAAATTTGTAGATGTTCACTACAGAGTTTTGCTCAAATGTTTTTGATTCATAGTTGGTTGATTCCAACAACATGAAACTCAGGTACAGCCTATTGCATTACCTATTGTCGATAGTCACAAACAGAAGAAACATCTAAATTTCTTTCTTTTTCTTTTTAAGATTTTTTTAAAAATTTTTTATTCCAAAGGCAGATTTACAGAGAGAAGGAGATACAGAGAGAAAGATCTTCTGTCCACTGGTTCACTCCCAAGTGGTTACAATGACTAGAGCTGAGTCATTCCAAACCCGAGAGTCAGGAGTTTCTTGCAGGTCTCCTACACAAGCACAGAGCCCCAAGGCTTTGGGCCATCCGCTACTGCTCTCCTATGCCACAGATGGAGATGGATGAAAATTGGAGTAACCAGGACATGAACTAGCGCCCATGCAGGATCCTTGAGCATGCAAGGTGAAGATTTAGCTACTGAGCTGTTGTTCCAGGTCCATGTTTCTTTGTTTTAGAAAAAAATTAAGGGGCCAAGGCTGTGGGGGCAGGTTAAGCCGTCACTTGTAATGCTGACATCTCACACGGGCACCATTTTATGTCCCAGCTGCTCCACTTCTGATCCAACTCCTTGCTAATGACCCTGTGAAAACAGTGGAACATGACCCAACTGCTTGGGCTCGTGAAACCTCTTGGGAGACCTGGATGAAACTCCTGACTTCTTGCTTCAGCCTGCCCAGGACTGGCTGTCGCAGCCATTTAAAGAATGAACTATTGGATTAAAGCTATTCCCTCTTTGTAACTCTGCCTTTCAAATAAATAAATGAATCTTCTTTAAAATTTTACTTTTAAAGAACTAAGAATAATAATAAGAAAATATCTAATTATTTCTCCCTTCTCAGTTTGTGGAGCTTCTGAATTCTATCCACATATCCATCCCCCTTTTACCCCCTGTCTGCTTTGTGACCTGTGCTCTAGTCATATGAGGAGACTGTTACCTTTTCAATATTTTCAGATTCACTAGATTGTAACAGGTGGGGGACTCCTTTTGTCTTCTACTGAAAAACTGTCATGTTTTTTTTTATTTGCAAAACTATGGACAATTCTCTTAAAGTACATATCAAAATAAATAAGTAGGTAAGAAATTTTGTTTGTATTATTTGTAATGATTCAAGTACACTCTGAAGAAATGGTTAAATACATCAAGATATAATTTGTCTTCTTCTAAACTCAAAGACTTGCTATAAAATAGGCCATGAGTAAATACTCGTCCTTGGTCTTAGAAAATTCATAGTGACATACAATTCTAAGTTTCAGAATAAAACTAACAAGCTGTTTTCTACTCTCTACTATTTTATTTAATCAAACTAAGGATATTGCTAGTGTTTTGTTTTAAAAAACCTTGCTCTCTGTTTTGTAATATGCCTAGGATAAATAACAAAGCAAAGAGCTTTATCTGTGTCGTCCACATGGGTAGCAAGGGCCAAAAATTTTGGCCTTTCTCTTCTCCTTTCTCCGGGCTGTTAGCAGGATGCTTGGAGCCTCAACAGGATATAAACTAATACCCATATGAGATTCTGAGATCGCAAGCAACAGCTTCACAAACTATGCCACAACCCTAGCCCGATAAGTGATATTTAAGAAAATAATAATTGCATCTAGCATAATTCCTCATTAAAAAATACTTGAGTGAATTAAATGTTCAAATTCAGAAGTCAAGGACACTAATACATTTCATAATTCAGGTTTCCTGGTTTATACACACATGGTAATAGACTTTTGCATTTATTTTCTCCAAGGATATTATTTACTTGTTGGTGAACTAAACCCATGGCACTATATGTGACACAAGATCGTACAAAGCAAGTGGAGGGGAAGTGTGAGTTGTATGATGAAAGTAAAAATAAGCACAGTACTTCATAAGAGAAAGCAGAGAAACAAAGGAAACAATCACACACTCTTCTTTTTGTACGTTTCGTGTTAAGTGCAGTGGTCTGCTCCTCCCTTCCTTGAAGGTCATAAAAAACAATGGAACTAATACAGTCCCATAATTTATACACTGATTTTCATGAGCTTCCTCAGGGTTATGCAGGTTAAGTAACTCTGTCATTCTTTGGAGATAGGTTGTCAGACACAGGGCAAAGATTGGAACTGTTTTTGTTTTTCCTACTTTCAAAAGACATTATGTAAGGAGAAAATGCACACTACTTGATATTCATAAGAAAAAATGAGCATTCTCCAAAAAGCCACCATTTTCTGATATATCATTTTATGCTTAAGAAGCTGCAAATTTTATAAATTCATCTTTTATCAGGAATTCCAAGCCTTGACCACATTGCTGAGGGTCTGGGTGGCAATTATGTACAGGGTCATGTTTTAATCTGTTTGTGTGAAACAAATGTGTGGATGGGGCAAAGAGGAGACAGGAAAGTTATGTCAACAAGTGTCATCCGTGTGGATCAAAGTGTTTCACAGAACATTACACCCTGTGATTAATCCTGTCAGTGATGGGCACCCCAGTAAAGGTAAAAAAAATCCTTAGTTTTTGTTTCTTTCTAAATGAAAAAGAATACCTTAAAAAGTTCATGAAAAAAAAAATGAAATTTCAGTTTGGCACAAAAAATAAGTAAATAAATTTCAAATAAACAATCTTTAAAATGTTCATGGAAAATGCATGTTATGAAAAAGCTATGTCTTGATTTCAAAATATTTTTCACAAAGATGAATGTTTTGAAGCCTCTATATAAGTAAATCATTTCTGTCAGCCATCAGAATTCCAGTAAATAAGTTTTTTTCAATCCAAGTTCGGAAAGAGCAAGAGGAAATTCAGGGAAGAGTACGTTACATATTCTTTGTCTTAGTGTTATTCTTATCCTACTGTATCAACAGTTAATTCCTTACATTTTGGCAACTAACATATCATAAAATGTTGTCTACTAAAAAGAGAATTTGGAAAGTAAACACCAAAAACCTCGTACCATTCTTACTGCTACTATGTTTAGCACAGTTGAGGGTACAAATGTTAGGCACGTGACTGTCTAGAAACATGTAAACTCATGAAGGACAAGCACCATGTTCCAGTATTTATTTTATTATCCCAAAAACTACTTCACACACTGGAGGTGTTAAAAAATGTGATGTTTGAATCATGCTTTAACAGAGGATTGCAGATATAAAACTTCAATTAGAAAAATATGGTTTGGCTTAAAGAAAACGGAATTCTAGAAGCTCCGACTAACCATTAAATATAAGGAGACGGTAACAGAGAAGCAAAACCAAGGACTGAAATGAATTTCAATCTAGAAGTTTTATCTCTCATTTAAAAGATCAAGGTATGAGCCCAGAGACACTATTATTTTAAATTAAAAAAAAAGCAGAAGAAAATGAAAATGAACACTATTAATCAGTGAAATTATAAAAGGAAAGTCATACATTTTAATTCTAAGTTTTAGTTCACAAATTCCTATTAGCCACATACATGAGTATATTAAAAGAAGTCATTCTCTTCTCAAATATGAAGGGTGTTTAACAGCTGCCTAAACAATCCCCTCACAAAAGCTTCTGCTGCATTTAAGCATAATTCTCAGGGCCACAGTGTAACAAGTTTTTCTTGGGAACGAAGCTAAAAAGAGAGAACACACAAGCAATAAAGAATAAAGTTATTATGAAGTCAGGGAATGTTTGTTTAGGACATCACTCATCTTCATCATCTGGTTGACTTAAAATTTTATTAGAAAAGACGACTAATTGCTATAAATAATTTCCCCTCTAAAAAAAAAGACACTTAGATGGGTTTAATACTTTTTTTCTGGAATTTAATTTTAAATATTCATTTATTCCTGTCCTCTAGCTATTAAGGCTTCCAAGTATATTCTAAAAGTCTGCGGGAGCCATAAGAAAATTCAAAGAAACTACAAAGAGCAGATCCTGCTCTGATCCGAGCCATGGAAGTCATCTTCATTTCAATTAATTTACTTTGCCTTTATGAACTTAAGAGTCTCTCAAGGAGGTTGACATTTCACTCATCTGAAAAAGCCTGGAATGTGACAGGGGAAAAGGGAGGAGAAGTAAATCACAGGGGTTAGCAATTTTCCAGATGCAAAGTATTTTTCTTCTCTTCCACCAGAAATTTTGGAGAGCCTTTTGACATCTTAATTCTCTATGCAAAACCACAGTAGCAACAACTGTTTCAGGTATAATGTGTCAAGAAACAAACACAAATGCACGTGAGCATGCACACAGCCATGGGATAAATATAAACCCAATTCATCCTCTTTAACTGAAAATTGGTCTTGTAGTGCAATTATTAGATGTTTGTGTGTACAGTTTAAATGGCACTATGTTGGTTAAAAGTAACAGTACATTTTGTATTTTTTTTTCTTGTTTGTGACAACTGAGTGATTTCGTGCAGGCAGGCCTTTTAGCTAAAAAGACGGCATTTATGAAAAACTGTGCTCATGACGATAGTTTAAATCTTGCCGGAATATTTCAGTTATCACCTTTAGCCACATGGTTTCAGGAAACTTTATGCCCAAATATTTTATGCCAAAGCAAGTTATTTCAGAAGAGTTCTTTCTTCATGGAATGGAAATTCACTAAAACATTCAGAAGCTGGAAAAAAAATCTTTGAGACTTGAAGATAAATTCTCAGCATCAGGGGCTCAGGGGGTATGCCCATTGCTTCTTAGAGCCAGAGGAGGCCAAGTGGCAGTTAACTCCCTAAAACACCCTAGTTCAATATTTACTTGACAGCTTTGGTATCTTGACATTTTCCCCAGTGAATTTCCTTCTTTATCAGGTATTATTTTACAAGGGATTTTTGTTATACAGAACTACCATAAATCAATCTATAACAGAGGAATTTGTTTAATACATTTATTCTCTTAAGAAGTTGCATGATCGTATTTCATTGGCTTGTACAATAGGAAAAAATCTTACTACTGAAAGAGAGTTTGTGGAAATTGGTGCATGGTAAACCTATTTAGGCTTTCAGGGGTTCATTCTTAGATTTTAAAGTTAAATAATAACAACTATTCATTTAAGCTGGCCTCACTGGATAGCTTGACCTTTAGCAATTCCACACACAGCAGCTTATTGTGGTATCCTTTAAATATGAGAAGTAAGAATGTCTTATTTTACTATTAAAAGAAAAATAAAAGAGTACTGTATGTTACATGGCCCATGAAATATTGGCGGTGTGCTCCTTGGCTTTCATTCGAAGAACTGCGATACTGGAAGACCTTCTTTCAAACTCTGGCTTTGTTTCAAACGCATGTCCATTGGTAGCCCCGGTAAGAAGAGAGTCAGTAAAAAAGTTGTTGAGGGGCACGTGACTAAACTGATTCTGGTGGTTTGAAAACCCTGTGTAACTGGAATCTGTCCGAGGCGAATGAGAATAAGGTGTCATACAGGAGGAAGTGTCACGTGGCAACATGCATGAAGTAACCACAGAACCACCGCTTGCATTTCCTGCCCACAAGTTGTTCTGAATCTGGAACATATAAAACAACAATTATTACATTTACACATTCTCCCTTTTGTTTGCTTATTTTTGTTCAATCTTACTTATCAAATTTGGTTAACTATCGGTTATTTACCACCTGTTGGGTGGTCCATAATTGTATTCAAAGTACATAGAACAACAGCTGAGAAATAATTATCTGAGAAATTCATACAGTTTGTTATTCTGTGATAGATCACCAAAACCCACAGTCTTGACCACATAAAATAATCTGAAAGCATGTCAATCTCTCAAGCATTCTTTTGTAGTCAGGATTTTTAAATTAATCTGTAAGATTTGGTCATGATTCTTAGAATCATGTGCTTTAAAAAAGTAGTTGAAAATACAGTTTTAAGTTCAAAGATAGTTTTCATGTTTATACAACAAAATGACACAGTTGCATTTTTTTCAAGTTCTGAAGTTGGACTTGGTGTGGTAGTTGTTGGAAGTCATGGCTGGCATTAGGCTGATTTCTTTGTAAAGATTTTGACAAACATCATTGTGAAAAATGTTTGCCTTCTCATTAGGTTTCATGTCCTGTTTGAATAAATAGCACTGAGGAACTGAGAGATTAATGTACATATTTTAAACATTTTTCTATGATTTATGTATGATACTGTGAATTTGAAACAGACATGTGACATGTATAATAAATTTAGAATTACAAAAAATGAACCATTACTAAGTTATGGAAGTACAGCCAAAAAATATGCAAATACTGGCTAAAGTATCACACGTGCATAATTTAAATTCAATAGACCATCGTATGTAACACTGAAAACTTGTCATAAGGTTTAAAAAGTTACAAACTTAAAAATTTTAAATTATAAAATTTGTGCCTGAGAAATTCAGCTTTGTATTATTAAATATCTAGAGAAAAATAATGTAATATTAGCAAATTTTTATAGTCAGTAACATGCAAATAAAACATTATAATTTACATATCATGAACTTTAAATAAGGATGTCAATCATAATAGACAAGCCATTTAAATACACACAAAAAGTATTAATATGCATTCTTAGGACACAGAACAAACAGTTGGGGTAAGGTGCAATGGAAAAGGCCAATGTTAGTTGGTATATGAGTACAGAAGGAGGCAGACTCTGATCATGATATACATACAAATATTCTCATAGATTAACTGTTTAACGGAGAATAGCATGCCAGGAAGTGAAGATAACGTTGAGGTTGGCATTTCTACTCCCAAACAACAAGTGAACTTCCAATGAAACAGTTAAATATACCTTGACAATATGATATTAGGTTTTCTATCTTTGTCTATACCTACAATGCCCTGATTCACTTAAACAGCAGAATGTTAAACTTGTAACTGATACTAAAGGACTATACTGTAATAACATGGAGGTGGGGGTGAGAAATGGTGGGAAGAAAAATAAAGAGGAAGGAAGGGGAAGGAAAGGAGGGATTCCATATATTTACAGAAGAGCATCATGGAAAATAACACTAAAAAGTTTTTTTACAGAACTGGATGCTTTTTGTAGGGTTATTATAATACATTTAAATTGAAACACAATAGCGAGATATATAATCATATATATGATCATCATATATATGTTCATCATACTTGACTTTCTTATCCTTTTGAACTCTTGACACTAACAATACAATCATTGATTGCAGCACATATGCACACAAATTCTAACATAAAACTTTTTGGCTGCTATATAAATCCTTGGATATAGTCTTACAATATGATGCTTGCATCACTTCTCAATGGCAACTACATTGCATTTATACCAGTAAATACATGTATTACTTCTTGGTCTTTTCAATAAGATCTAGTGCAGAAAATATGCTAATAAATGTCCTAGATCTCAGTTAAAGAGAAGTTACTTTAGTGCTATGGAAAACACTGCTTAACCAGTTTCAAAATATTTGAGAACATCAAAATGTTTTCAACTCTAAGGTGCACTTATTTCTGTCTTTTTTTTTAAAACGGTCCCTTACTTACATATTTATGAAGTACTTTAAGTCTTTTACAGCATGTGAATGTACTTCTAGTTTGTGAAAAAACAATTAAAATGTATAAATCTTAAAATATATGCAGGATTTACATAGTATATTTTTAATAAATTCTTGAAGACCCCTCTTGTGTATGCATCAATGTGTGCACATAAAACTAGATATCTATATGCAGGTACATGTATCTAGACATATATATATATAATGGTTTGCATGTTTTATTAATTCTCAAATCATCATAGACTGATATTTTAATTTTGGCTCACTGCTATATGCACTCCATTTAGCAAAATAATAATGTTTTGTACCAGTGACTGCTGAGTTATGTATCTCAAACCAACAACAGGGCTGTAAATGTCATTACTCTGTCAAACTAGCCCTTCTAACCTAATCTGGGTGATTTTCCTCAAGCATTCAATCAAAACATTGTGCTACATTGCAAAAACCACAGTCACATGTCTGACAAAAGAGCTTTCAGAAATGAAAGTAAACTCGCTTGTTTATTTCTGAAAAAATGGAGGAGGGGACATAGTGATGGAAAATGATTACATATTTTTATCTGTTAAAGGATTTCTCAACTTAAGCAGAAGGTTGCTAAGTATTTGTAACTAAAACAATTCACTTGTATTCCAAATACAAATATATTTACCAGCTAGGTTAAAAAAAATGAAAATAAAAGAAAGAAAAAAAGTCTGAATGTGTATCAAAAAACTATTTTCACCCCAAAGACCTTAATATCAATCTAGCTATAAATTGGAAAAAAAAAACTTTAGATGTGTGACCAGGGCAAATTATTTAATTTTCATTAAAACTTAGACAAAATTAAGTATGTTAAATACCTTACTCCAGAAGATATAAAAAACAAATTACTATATTAATATTTTGCTTGGGCTAGAGATCTAATCTAAATACCTTGAAGACTCTTTTCCTATTCCTAAGAATAGGATATTACACACATTGATGTTGATACGCCCTATCTCTTCTTTCTCCCACCGTACCCACCAACGGCCTTTCACTTTTAACATTTGTTATATGTCTTCATTTCGATGGGGAGCCTACTTGGATTCCATACTGAATGTTCTTATGTAAATCTCAAACAGTATTTTCTCTGTGAACAGGAATTTTACTTCCTCAGGAGCACTCTTTCTGGATCTCTTAACATTTCATGATGATTGAGGTCATATCCATAGTAGTTAATGCTTGTCAACCCCATGAGTGAGGAGCAGTTTAATAACACTGCTAGTTGTTTCAATGTACTTAAAAATTGTGTTTTTACTATCCTGACTTCCATCGAGGTAAAACCACAGTATTGAAACCAAGAACCTCATCTAAGTTTATGCAAAGCAATGGTGGAAGTCAAATTTGAACTCAGGAAATGTTAAGAAATGCTGTAAGACATAATGAGTTTTATGAGATGAAATTGTTTACTGATTCATAATCACAGCTTTGTGGGGGATCAGAGGCTTTAGGTTCCTAAAACAAAACTTATTATTATTGAGCATGATTTAAAATCTCTTAAAATACTTAAATTCTGGCTGATTAATTTTGTCAGTGTAATAAAAAATTTATGGAATAATTGATGCTCATACATGTAAATATATTTCATAATTTGAGGTCTAGAATCACCATACTCTGAAACCTTTATACCAAAATTGTGGCAATCTCATTTCCTGTCCTTGTTGTCTATATTTACTTACCAGGTTTTTCTTTTTTTTTCTATTAAAACTTTCCCACTTAGAGTTGGCATCAAGGAGTTGCACATTAAGCCATCACCTGTACCGTTAGCACCCCAGAAAGGCCCCTGATAGAGACATTGGCTACTCCACTGCTGACCCAGCTCTCTGCTAAAGCACCTAGGAAAGCAACAGAGGATGGCCTGCTGTTTGGGTACCTGCACATACTCGGGACACCTTGGAAGAAGCTCTGATCTGACACAAACCGCACAATTGCAGCCATTTGGGCAGTGAACGAGCAGGTAGATATCTCTTTCTGTCTCTCCCTCTCTGTCATTCATATAAATAAAAAATACTATTTTGAAGGGACGTTACTGATCTTACGGTCCTTTTCAATTGAAACAACATTCATTTAACATTGAAGTGTTTTTAAGAGATTAAAAGCAGGAAGAATAAGCAAAGGTGTGAACATATATAAAATTTGGACCAACTCATTTTATAACTATAAAAATTCTATAACATTAGGATATATATATTTGAAATGAACTGAAGTATTATAAAACATCATGGATTATATACCAATCATTTAGCTTAGAGATGATATAAATAAGTTCTCTGTGATCAAAACTACAAAGATTTTAATTTACTGAATCTTATTTATATTTATAATATATAGTTTATTTTATTTCAGTAATTTTGACACATTTTAAAAATGGGTTTAAAAGAAACATTTCATGTTACCATGAAATCATACTACAATCCATGTCCTGAAGATACTCTTACTTAGAAGACACTGACCTTCTACATTTAATAGAAATACTGAATAATACCAAAATATATTAAGTGACAGTCTTCCTTTAATGTTTAAGTACTTCCAAAGCAATTAATTGTGCTACTTAACATTTTTTAACTAAAATAAACTTATTCAATTCCATTTCTCCTCTACAGACTACTCCCACCCCCTGCCACCAGAATTTGCAATGTTTACATACATACACACATACACATGTACATATTATGTACATTTTCACACTGCCTTCATAAAAGATGCTCACACATTTCTCCGTGAAACTTATAGGTTGCTCACAAAGACAAGGGATTTACAAAGTAGTGCTTGGGATGATGTAATTACAGCAAACCTCTTCTACATCAACATCTAAAAGCTGATTCTCGTTTTTCCTTGTTGCCAAAATGCTTACGTTTATTGTCTACTTAATATTTTATTCAACACTTACTATAAAAATGTATTTAGCACATTATCACTACATAATTTAATTTACCAGATTTTTATGTGGCCTTTTAAAGATTAAAACCACGAATTTCTACGATAAA